AAATTATCTGATGAAGAATGAGTAGCAATTTCCCAGTTCAGCTAAGAATTTCATTGCAATGGGTACTAATATCTACATAGTACTAAAACTGAACCCTAAGTCCAATGCTACTTAAATAGAAGACTAAACCAGTGACAAACAGTCCATCTTTTTCATATAATTAAAGTAGAGCAGACCCATTGGTAGGCCACAGAATGACACACTTTTTCCAGCAGTAGCAAAAGGTTATAGGATTATAAGCTCGCCAGACAACTGCCTGTCCCTTTTTAACTCAGAGGGATTTGTGAGCCTGTATCCAGGGAAAAATTTCTTTTTGTACAAGGTAGAACTATCTATAAAGTAAATGAACAAGTGACCTTGGGCTCCTAAATGTTATATTCATTTAGCCTAAAGTGCTAGTTAGCTCACCTCTAAGAGAACAGAAGAGGAATGGATAAACTGATTTTCACGTATTGACACTAATAACAAAGTCAAAATAGAACACCACTTCTATATAATAAAATTTAAATAAATAGTTTTAAATTTGCATTACTGTTTAAACATTGATTTGTTCAGAAAAAAACTGTATGGGCATTAATTACCTTCCACATCTAACAGTCACAATTAAAGTTGTTACTGTTTAATAGGACCTTTATTCCAAGTCAACCTTTTTTGAGTGAGCTATACATTTTGGAGAATTTCTAGAGGCACATTTAAATAAAGTAATTTACATTTCAAGCACTGATGCCAAAGAGCAAAATGGTAATCTAAGTTTAGAATGTCATGAAATACAAAAATCCAGTTTTAAGGTTTCCTATTTTTCAAATATCTCCACTAAAAGTTCAGTGGTAAAGCAGCAAACTAAATTCCAAAGCTAATATAAAAAAGGCCTTCCATAACAACACACAGAGCTATCTTAATTTACCAGGATAAAAAGGATATAATTCACCATATAATTTCACCTAAATGTTACCCAAATCTGACTGCCTTTTCCTTTACTCGAGTTCAGTAATTCATTCACTTGCATGTGTCTCCATCCTTCATAATATTCAATAGAGAAACTTCTTATAGCTTTAAAAATACTGTACGGCACAGCTTAAGTACCTTACATTACCATAAAATTATGTCCCAAAATAAATACTAACAAAAATATTTAAGGAAGATGTTCAACACCTGACCTGGAAAGAACATCATCTCTTGGCAGTACCCTGAAGTGTATTTTCTCTTTCTAAATTATAGTGTCTATGCTTCACTCTTTCTCTTCTGAAGTAGTCAATATATTCTAAAGTTCCAAGTGCTTAAGTATAAAATTTCTACTTGAAGAACATACAAAATAGCAGAAAAAGACAAATAGCTTAAATTCTTGTATTAAGAGGTCAATTCAAAGAGTAAACACTTAGGAAATTCTAAAACAATTTTTTACTCAAGGAAAAAAAAGGCATACCTTAGGTCTATTTTGTCTTCTATGAACAGGAACTGTAGGAACTAAAGCATTAAAAACGGAAAATGATGCTTTTATCCCTAGCGTAAGGGTTAAAATCCAATTTGAGACTAGAAACTTGGCAGTTTCACAGTAGGCAAAAGTTCACATTGCCAAACTACTTCCTATGTCCAACTGGGCAGAATTTTAAGTTAGGAACATCATGCCTTTCGGAAGACTAATCAAGCTTTTTCAACACTGAATGTACTCTCACTCAAAAGAATAGCCCTACCAAGGTTGAAATTAATTACATGCACTTTTGCACAAGATACTTTGGCTAAATTTCCATTAAGTCACATTTTTGCTTTTGTTCTTGACGAGTTCCTATGTAAGAGGAGATTTTATAACAATATCCTTCAATGGGCCTCCAATGAACTGATCAATTTGTCAGTATTTCATTTTACGAAGGAGGCAAGGTGGAGGAAAGATACAGGGTGGGTATAAGTGAACTGACCACCTACATAAGGGATATCGACACACATACACACACATTTTAAAGAAACAGAGAATATGATTAAGTTGGCTGAGGTGCTTAATTACAGCCACAATATAGCCAAATCCATCATATAGCTAGTCAATTTTATAACGGGATCTAACAGTTTCTTCTGCTATTGCCCTCCGATGTTCAGATTATATTCTAAATCACTGCCTTATTTCCTCCTTTTGACAGCCTCCATCAGAAAGAAAGAACAGCCTTAAAGGATGGCATTGCATAACATGGTGTAATCCCAGATCCACAATTCCTACTCATTTTGAGGCATCAGATAAATTAAGAAAGTTAATTAAACTACAATAGAACACCACCATAATTTAATGTTGTATTATAGATTCAGATATACCATGGATCAAATCTCTGCTCTCAAAAGCTACCCACAAGTTTGAAATGTGGGTCCCACAAGGTCGGTGTCAGGCAGTTTAGTTCCAACACCAGATTACACAGCATGATCTCGTTTGTTTTTTTTAGATCACAAGTTATTGAATACATATTACCCCAAAATAAATGTCAAATAAGAACGAAGAACATCAGAAAACAGACCTTTAAAGGATAAATAAACTTTAGGCTCAACATCAAAGCAATTCTATACCACTTTAAATACCATCAAATAAATTAGTAATACTGTAGGTAATGAATATTTAAAGACCTACCTAGGCTATAAACACCATATTGTTTTCTGATGATAGAACCATATGTCTTAGCTTGTGTGTGTCTGCAGGAAAAAAACCTCACTAGTAACACACAGGCATTTTAAGGAAACAGTTTAAGATAAGCTTTGTTAAGAGTACATTCTTTTAAAACATACTAGCCACGTGAAAACCTAACCCACAGATCACAATGTAAAATAAAAGGATCTCCATAAACAAAATAAAACCCTACTAGATGTCAACCTCTAAAGTCATGTTCAAAGTTTTTGTCATGTTACTTATACCTAAAAGAACCCTTTGAGGGGAATTATGTAAAATGAACGCTTAGAAAAAACTATACTATGCATTATTTTAATTAAAATCTGACCAAGAAATCCCAATTCTGAAACATTTGCTTTTATCTCAAAATTCCACATTCGAAGGTTTTAAAAAAATATATAAAAATCAACAGACCACACCATGTATGACAGTCATGTCTGCTCATAATTTTACATTAATCAGGACTTAAAAAAAACAAACTTAATACTAATTCAATGAAAAGAAGTATAATCATTGTAAAATATTTGAGTACCTCTTGTCTTCCAGGCAGTGAACTAAGTGCTGCAGGGGTAAGACCTAGGAAGATGTAGCAGTCCTTGTCTAAAAAAAAACCCTTCCCATAGAGAAGAGTGGGAGAAGGAAAAAGGAAGACAGAATAGTAAACATGTACTGACATACAGGTACAACTAAGCTCAAGATGTTTCTTTACTCACATGTACACATGTCACATTCTTAGACAACTGTAAACATAGACAACTTAAGTGTATTTCAGAGAAAGAACAGGAGATTGGAGAAAGTAGAGGTTAAGAAGTAAGTGACAAAGTTAGCTCATTAGTCTACTGGAGAAGGGTCCAAGGTCTGATGGAGATAAAGATAAGGCAAATGCAAAGATAGTTGTATGAATTAAAGGTAGTGAAATGGCGTATTATTTAGCCCGACAAAACCAGTAATTCCTCTTCTTAAGGAACAAATACAATTAATGAGAAAGGTACCATGAGAATTTACCAATTATTCAGTAGCTTTTATGATGCAATGATGACATTTCAGATGTTTAGATACAATGTAACTTTTATCTTTGTTAAATACATGCTAGCTAGGCACTAAATTCAACTTTCCCAGATGCTTCCATCAAAGCACACATGGCTAACTATCAAGCCTTGGCTTCAACAGATCTTAAAGGGCAAATTTCAAATTGTCCCAATTCTCTCTTTTTGGGGAAAAAAAAGTTAGTAATGGGAGACAGCACAAAATATAAAAATTCTCCAAAACAGACTTTTCCCTGAGACATTTGATGTGCTTAAGTTGGCCTCAAATTCTCAAAACAGGATGGCAAATACTTTAGTGAGACATTAGAAAAATAGGGATACAACGAGTGCAAGCCCACCCCCCACCCTCCCCAAAACGAAACAAAAAAACCAAACCTGTATCAATATTGTAAATAGGTATCTATCTTCTTTACTGAGCGGACTTTCTTTGGTAGAAGAGATGAGAAGCTAGTCCAACTTCCTGAGTACCCATCCACCTTCATCTATTCCCCAAAAAGTAATTTCCAACAGATAGCAGAGCCAAGTGGCCTATGATCATATCAATACCAGGCAGAGGCAAGAGAAAACAAAGCAGCGATCTGACTCCCCGTACTCGAGGTACGTGTGCTGAGCTTCCAAAGGCTAGGAAAACCGAAGGGGGCCAACTTAAACATTTAATGAGAAGTTACTCAGACTTTTTTTAAAAATGCAGGAAAAAGAAAGGAGTGCCACACTATCTGGAAAGGAATGCAAATGCTGAGTCATCACTCTTCATTAGGAAAGAAAGGAAAACTCGAATAAGCGGTTGGAAGATGGAAATTCATTCATTAGACCGGGCTTCAGGTAAAAAGCAACAGCAAGATGGAAGAAAAGGTGCTCAGAAGACACACATCGAATAGTGAACGGACATCACTTTATCCAATTCTGAAGGTCTCAAAGCACAAACAGATTAGGAGGAGGTAACACCCAAAGAGCAAAAGCAGTTTAACAACTGGTTGTCAGTTTAGCGTAGGTAGCGCTCAAAGTAAACTTCCAAGAAGGGAAAGATGCTCCGGCGGCAAGAGGCATCCCTTTTGCACTTCAAAAGTAGCGGGCGCTTGGCGAGTGTCTCTGACAGCGTGGGCGGGGGCACGTGGGACAGAAAGAGAGAAGGGGCTTGAGTGGAGGAAGAGCGTCCAGTTTCCTCGGAGAGCTTAGCTTGGGAGAAGAGCTGGGAGCGATGGAGCTGGGGGCTTGCAGAGCGAGAGCGCTAATTCCTCGGGGCCCGCGGGGCACGAGGCTGCGGTCCCACCCCCAGTCCCACCCCCACCCAGGCCCTGCCCCCGTGGGGACCGGCAGCTCCCGGCCCAGCCCAGGGCCCCCACAGCAGAGGGGGAGCAGGAGCTCTCCCGGGCCTGACAGCCCCAGCCGTGCAGAAAGCCGGCCTAGGGAGGGTGTGCAAAGAAGGGCGCGAGAGGAAAAGGTCGACACAAACCCCAGACCCCAGGAAGTGACTGTGTTTGGGGGAAGGGAGGGCTTCCTTCCCAAGGAAAAGGGGACAGAAGAGAAATGCACTCCGCGTCCGCCACCCCGGCCAGGGAGCCGCCGTAAGTCCCAGCTTCGGCCCCGCTCTCCTGCTCCCTCCCTCAGCGTCCCGCCGTGCCCGGGCCTCTCGGCGCCTGGCAACCCCCGTCTCGGGTACTCACAGAGTCCGGGGCTGCCCGTCGTCTTCCATCATGGTGGGTGCGACGGAGCGATCCCGGGACAAGGGGGAGGGCAGGGCTGGGGAGGGGAGGGGGTGGGGAGGAAGGGGAGGGGGGCTCCGGGCACCAGCTGGGGACAGAGGAAAAGCCACCGAACCCTGCTCTCGGGCTCTCTCCCCCCAGCCCGCTCCGGACACTGCGCTCCAACCAGGAGGAGCAGGAGGAGGAGGAGGATGAACAAAATGGCCACCGCCACCAGCCAGGCAGGAAACGGGGCAGAGCGCAGGCGCGGCCCGCCAGGTCACCGCTCAGGCCAGCCGCGACGGCCTGTAAAGGGAATAACTGAGTGGGGAGAAAAACAGGCCGCTAAGGAAACCCTGTGCCCAGTCCCGACGAATCACGTCGTCGCTGAGTGCCTGCTGGTCGGCTGAAGCCCAGCCAGTTCAAGAAGAGATCGAGTGAAAAGGGAACCGCCGTGAAGCTGAAGGTTCTGGGAATTGTGGTCCTGGAAATGAGAGAGGGAAGCACTTCTCCAGAGGACTTCTGGGAACTGTAGTCCACAGGAGACGGCCGGCGCCCGCGACGCGCCGGGTCGCGAAGAAGAGACTTCTGGGTAGTGTAGTCATACGTGAGGACGTGCGGCCACCAGGAAGTCGGCGTGCTGGAAGGAGAAGCAGAGAATAAAAGCGACGTTGAAAGGCGGGGAGACCGGACGGAAAAAACGCTGACCGGGAAATAAACTACAAGTCCCAGAGTGCCTCGCGCTGGGGGCTGTCCTAGGACTGCTCGGAGCATGTTAAGGCTCTTCAGTTGGCTCAGCTTGTGCTACCGCTCCGCCTCCGTCCAGCCTGAGAGCGGTTTCTTTAATTGCGTCTGAATCCCTGCTTTGGCTCCGCGTGGTGTCGGAGTCAGCGGGCGTTTCGAGCCGTCCCCTATTCATCCAAACAGCCGACCCGTGGTCATCAACCGCCGACCCGCGCGACGGGCTGGAGGGGCTGTGGTGGACGTCGGGTCCGGGCTGAGCTGGGAGCTGCGCTCGCTGGGTCCCGGCGGGCTTCCTAAGGTCCGGCCTTGTCTCTTGGGCGTGTTTTCCCGCAAATAGGTGTTGCTGGCCTAGGTTGGCCGTTTGTAGATTGCTTTGTAAGTTTCAAAGGTTCCCCCGTCCGTTATCTCGTCGGATAAGATGGTAAGTAGAGCAGTCCTCCATTAAAATGACTCATCGAGTCAGTGTAAGGTGCAGTGATAATGCCCTCCAACCCCTTATTTAATTCTTGGAGTGGAAAAAATCTTTGGGCCGAGACGTGCAGACTTAAGCTTGTGTTTGCAGATATCCATCCTGTAGACGGGAAATGAAGTCTTGCTTGAGAATGGAGGGAGCCGTTTTCAAACTGCTTCTGTAACCCTGTAGAATTCCCCCCCCCCCCCCCACACACACGACAGTTCATGGTGCGCTTACGTCCCCTCCCCCCAGCATCTTGAGTTTGTACCCCCTCCTGGTGAAGGGTGGTGATAAAGATCTTTCAGCCTGTTGCCCGACCTTAAAGGTCCCAGTTAAACAGTGCCTTAAGAGTTGGCTCTGCCAACATGTCCTGAGGGGGAGGGGGATTTGAACCTGGAAAGCTTCATAGACTCCATGGCAAGGAAGTTGAACCCCGTAAGAGTCCGTGGGAGTAGCAAAAGGGCGCAGAGACCAGGATCCAGGGTTAAAGTATATAGTTATTTGGGGAGGGAGGAGAGGGGAAGGCATGGCGAAGGGGTCTTGAGAGTTGAGAGAGGTGGGCTTAAAGAATTGTATTGTGAAGGACTTGAGGAGTTGAGCTTTGTCTTTGAAGCAGTGAGGAGTTTCTCAAGGGTGTTTGCTTTTATTGGACTTAGGTATAGAACTGGGTTTGTCATAATCCAATCAGTCATTGATCCATGCCTAGCCCACTGTATTAGTTTCCTATTACTGCTGTAACAAGCTTAGTGCCTTAAAATAGTAGGAATTTATTATCTTACAATTCTGGAGGTCAGAAGTCAAAAATCAGTTTCACTAGGCCAACATCAAGGTATTGGCAGGCTGGTTCTTGCTGAAGTCCAGGGGAGGAATGGGTTCCTTGCCTTTTCCAGCTTCTAGAGGCTGCCAGCATTCCTTGACTTTTGGCCTTACCCACCATCTTCAGAAACCGCATAGCCACTTCTTTCCTCTCTGACCTCTGCTTCTATCCTGACCCCCCTTTCTGACTGGTCTTCCTGCCTCCCTCTCACCTACAAGGACCCTTTGTGTTTACACTGGGCCAAGGATAATCTCCCCAACTCAACACCTTTAATCACATCAGCAAAGTCCCTTCCCCCCCGTAACACATTTACCGATTCTGGGGATTAGGACATGGACATCTTTGCTAGGCCATTATTCAGCCAACCACGCACAACCCACCTTTATTAATTTAGTTGCTTTCAATGTAATAATAGCTGTGAACTCTCTACCCTAAAAAAAAGTTATAATGACAATTTACAACCAAATGTATGGTTTGCCTCCCCCAGCCCCATACTAAGTGATCCTCTTGCCTCCCCTCACATGGGGTGAATATAATCACAAATCTTCACCAATTCTTGTTCTCCTTTTTATGAATTTTTATTCCATATACGTATTTATACAGAATACAACTACATATATATATATATATGAAGTGTGTATGCAACGTATTTTTAATTGTTTTTAATATAGTAAAAAAGAGTATGCTCCCCCTAAAAGAAAGAGAATATGCCCAGTACACACCTGTTAGAATGGCTAAACTCCAGAACACTGACACCCCAAATGCGGGCAAGGATGTAAGGCTACAGGCACTCTCATTCATTGCTGGTGGGGGTGCAAAATGGTACAACCACCTTGGAATACATTTTGGTAGTTTTTTACAAAGCTAAACCTAGCTCCTAGGTATTTACCCAAATAAGTTGAAAACTTAAGTCCACACAAAAACCTGCACACGAATATTTACAGCAGTTTTATTCATAATGCAAAAAATTGGAAGAACTAAGATGTCTTCCAATAAGTGAATAGATAAACTGTGATATATTCAGATAATGGAATATTATTCAGTGAAAAAAAAAAAAAAGCTATCAAGCCAAAAAAGCCCATGGAAGAATCTTAAATGCATATTCCTAAGTGAAAGAAACCAGTCTGAAAGGGCCACATACTGTGTGATTCCAACTATGTGCCATTCTGGAAAATGTGTAACGGTGGAGACTAAAAAGATGTATGGTTGCCAGGGGCAATGGAGGGAAGAGGAACGGGTAGAGCACAGAGCATTTTTACTGTGGTGTAACTATTCTGTATGATACTGTTTTGTGGATCCCAAAGAACTGTACAGCTCAAAGAGTGAATCCTAATGTAAACTGTGGGGACTTTAGTAAATAATAATGTATCAATATTGGTTCATCAGTTGCAACAAACATACCACATAAATGCAAGACAGTAATATTACGGAAACTGTATGCTGTGGTGGGGGAGAGGGTGTACTGGAACTTTGTACTTTAGGCACAGTTTTTCTGTAAACCTAAAACTGCTCTAAAAAAATAAAGTCTGGGGGCGCCTGGGTGGCTCAGTCGATTAAGCGTCTGCCTTAGGCTCAGGTCCTGATCCCAGGGTCCTGGGATTGAGCCCAGCATCGGGCTCCCTGCTCAGCAGGGAGTCTGCTTCTCCCTCTCCCTCTGCCTCTCCCCCCCCTTGTGCTCTCTCTGTCTCTCAAATAAATCAAATCTTGAAAAAAAATAAAGTCTGTTACAAAGGAAAAAATGTGCTTTTGTATCCTTGTGAGATTTTTTTCGCCTAATGTAAGATTCAGCCATATTTTATGTGTTTGGCTTATTCATGTTCACTATTGTATGATTTCCAGTATGTGAATATACCACACTTTGATTTCTCATTGATGGACATTTGGGTTACTTCTGGGTTTTTACTATTATGAACAGTGCTACTATGAACATACTTGTGCGTGTCTCCTATAATATAGATAGCTTTCTTTGGTCTGTTTGGGTTTATACCTAAAGTAGAATTGTTGGGTTACAGGGAATGTGAATATTCAATTTTAAAAGATAATGTCAAATATTTTTTCCAAAGTAGGTACACTGATTTACACTCCCAGTAGCATTCTGTAGGAGGTCTTATGACTGGATCCATGTCTTCTTCAACACTTGCTTTTGTCAGACTTTTTACATTTCTTTCAATCTAAGTGTGAGCTCAGTGTGGTCTTAATTTGCATTTACCTAATCACTTAAGACTGAACATCTCTCCATATTTTATTAGCCATATGTGTTTCCTCTTCTGAATAATGCCTGTTGATATCTTTTGCCTGTTTTTCTATGAGGTTATATGTGCTTTTCTCCTTGACTTTTATGAATTCTCATGCTAATTTTTTCTCACTGATATTGCAAATATCTTCTCCCAGTTTGTAAATTGTTTTTTTCTCTTTATAAATGCCTTTAAAATGGTCAAATCTATCGTGTGTATGTGTGTGTCTTATTTAAGAAATATTTCCCCACCTTAAGCCTAAATTATAGACTTCAGAGAAGCTCATCCATGGAGTCTACTAAAATTTTTTAAACTTCGTATTTGACATTTAAGTCATTAATCCACCTGGAATTTTATATACATGTAGAGTAGGGATCCAATTTCACGTTTTTCCATATGGATAACCATTATTTTTTTTTAAGATTTTATTTATTAGCACAAGTGGGGGGAGGGGCAGAGGGAGAAGCAGACTCCCTGCCGAGCAGGGAGCCTGACAACATGGGGCTCCATCCCAGGACCCTGAGATCATGACCTGAGCAGAAGGCAGACGCTTAACCAACCGAGCCACCCGGGCACCCAGATAACCATTATTTTTTAACTCCAATTACTGAATAGCTCTCCCCTGCCCCCAGTTAATGGGACATGCTCCCTCTGTGTAGTTTGGGTCCTCTAAGGAGACACCAAAATGGGATTAGATATGCAAGAGATGCACCGAGGGAAACTTGTGACGAATGGAAGGAGGAGAGAACTGGAATAGGCCAGGACTCCCACAACAGAGGTTGGACACTTGTCAAAGGAGAGAAGGAAGGAAGGATTGGCTAGCAATTGCCTCAGACATTGTATGACTCAAAGAAAGTCTTGGCTAGGCAAGCAGGGCGTCCCAGGGTGAAGAGTGACCCTTAGAAAATACTGTTCCGAGCAGAAATGGCCCAGCTCCAAGAATTCCGCCATCTCAGTGACAGGCTGAAAGCAGCCCTGGGAGACAGCATGGCGTCTGCGTGAATGCCGCACTGGACGTGAAGTTGCTGTCTTCTGTCCTGGAGAAGACCTGGAAGCTATGCACGAACTACACTCCTTGCAGCAGCTTCTCTTGCAGGGAGGTCTGAGCCGGGCACCTTCTTGGCCACCAGAGGTTCCTGTTTGCACGGCTTCGTTCCTGGGCTCTGTTATTCCACTGGCCAACTTCTCTATGCCTGTGCCATTTACAAAGAGAGATCCTCCGAATACGTTCTAATGCTGGTGGGCTTAGTCACTTCTTTAGAACTGTCCTTGTTGCTCTTGATCCTTTACTCCTTCATATGTATTCAGAGCTTTTAAGCAGAGGAGTCAGATCTGTGCCGCAGCAGAACTCAAGCAGATGTGTGGGTTATTATAGGGATGAGAGATTTCAGGCTAAGAGAGCTCCTGGGATGTAATTTCCATAGTCCAGGCAAGAGATAAGACGGTATAGATGAGTGGATTTAGACAGCAACAATGAGAAAAGACAGAAGGTTATGGATACAAGATAATAGGGAAGCAGAAGGGTGGGAGGCAGGGAAAACTGAGATAATCCCCATGTTAATGCCTTGGCTGTCTGCCCAGATTGTGGAGCCCTTCACTGAGTCAGGAAATACAGGAGGAAGAACAGGTTTCAGGGAAAGTTAGTTTGGTTTTGCATCTGCTCATGGGGCACGTATTTAAAGCTGCTCAATGTACACATGGATATAGACATCTGGAGCTCATGCAGAGGCCCAGACTGGCTTTGGGAGGAATCAGTCTGCAAGTGTCATTGTCATCTCATCGTCTCAGTATGGGAGAAAGCATCACCTGGGGAGGGTGGAGAAGATAAGAGGGCTGAGAGCATGGGAAGACACTAACTTATCAAGAGAAGTCAGAGGAGGAGGAACTATCTAAAAAAAAAAAAATTGATAAAGAATCATCAAAAGGAAAAGCTTCTATCTGAAACCCCTTAGGATGGTTACTATCAGAAAGCAAAAATAGAAAATAACAAGAACTGACAGCAATGTAGAGAACCCCTGTGCACTGTTGATGGGAATGTTGAGCAGTGCAAGTGCTATTGTGTAAAAAGTATGGCGGTTCTTCAAAATTAAAAATAGAACTGCCATATGATCCAGCAAATCCACTTTTGAATACATATCCGAAGGAATTGAAATCAGGGTCTTGGAGAGATATTTGCACACCCATGTTCATAGCATTAATCACGATAGCCAAAAGGTGAAAGCAAATGTCCATTGATGGATGGATGGATGGATGGATAAACTAAATGTGGTAGCTGCATACAATGGAACGTTATTTGGCCTTAAAAAGGAATTTCTTTTTCTTTGTCCTTTTTTTTAAAGATTTTATTTATTTTTTTGAAAGAGAGAGAGCAAGCTGAGGGGGAGGAGCAGAGGGAGAGGGAGGAGCAGACTTCCCATCGAGCAGGGAGCCCGATGTAGGGCTTGATCCTGGGACTCTGGGATCATGACCTGAGCTGAAGGCAGACGCCCAACCAACTGAGCCACCCAGGCACCCCAAAAAGGAAGGAATTTCTCACACATGCTACAATGTGGAGGAACCTTGAAGACATCATCCTAAGTAGAATAAGCCAGTCACAAAGAACAAATATTGTATGATTCCATTTACATTCAGAGAGACAAAGTAAAATGGTGGTTGCCAGGGTGGGGAGGAGGGGAATGGGAGTTGCCGTTTAATGGGATGATGAAAAAGCTCTGGGGACAGAGGGCAATGATGGTTGCACCATGACGTGACTGCATTTCATGCCACTAAACGGTATACTTAAAAATGGTTCAAATGGTGAATTTTATGTTGTGTATTTTACCACAATCTTTTTTTTTTTAAAGATTTTATTTATTTATTTGAGACAGAATGAGAGAGACAGAGAGCACATGAGAGGGGGGAGGGTCAGAGGGAGAAGCAGGCTCCCTGCTGAGCAGGGAGCCCGATGCGGGACTCGATTCCGGGACTCCGGGATCATGACCTGAGCCGAAGGCAGTTGCTTAACCAACTGAGCCACCCAGGCGCCCTACCACAATCTTTTAAAAGGCTCTGAGAGAGATTTCTTCGAGAGGATGAAATGTAATGAACACCTAATTTGTTTGATCTTATTGAAAGGAGAGCAAACAACTGAGGGAGTATTTTGGGATATGTTAATAATAAGTACACAGAAAACCCAGTGAACAGAAGATAAGACATTTACCAACTTCTTAAAAAGAAAGTTGTATAGGGGCGCCTGGGTGGCTCAGTCAGTTGAACGTCTGCCTTCGGTTCAGGTCATGATCCTGGGGTCCTGGGATCAAGCCCTACATCGGGCTCCCTGCTCAGTGGGGAGCCTGCTTCTCCCTCTCCCTCTGCCTGCCGCTCCCCCTGCTTGTGCTCTCTCTCTATCAAATAAATAAATAAAATCTTTAAAAAAAAAAAAAAAGTAGAGCCCATAGCAATCTCAGCCACCACTGTTATCAGAGGCTGCAGTGTATAAAATCATCTAGAATCAATTTAGAGAAATGACAAGCCTCTGATCTACATGAAAAGGAAGACGTCCTCAAATCTGTGGTCTGACTTTGACGACCAGGAATCTGTTAAGTCCTCCAGAGGTCTCGATGTGCTCCCCTGCGTCATGCTTGGACTCCCTGGTCTCAGAGTCAGTGAGACCAGGGTCCTACTCAACACAGTCATCAGTCAGGACACTGCCTTAATTCCTCACCCCTTTGTCCTTCACCCCAAATTCCTAACCTTAGATTCTTCTACTTGCTCCTTTTCACTGGCTGTCAAGGATTGCCAGAGAAAAAGTGGATAACCTTGCGAATGGACGCCATTACAAATTTAATGTTTCTGATCTCCCCTGGGCCCTTAAATCTGCTCAGTGTTCCTTTGGTACCTCCATTTCTCCTCTGTCAAATATGTATAAAATAGCACCACAGGATTGCTGTAAAATGTCAATGGAATAATGCATGTAAAACATTTGGCCCAGGGTCTGAGACAGGGCGCTGAATAAAAAATAATTTTTATATACAAATTATTCCCAAGTCTTTCTCTCTCCATTTCCTGAGCTCTCTACTTGAATTCTGAATAATCTCTTCACCCCCCTCAAAATTCCGCTCTTACATCTGCTATCTTGATGAATGACATCATTCCTGCAAGCCAGAAACATCAACCATGTACTTTACCATCTCTCTTACTCCCTATATTCCTTTGATCCCAGAGTCCCTGTCCATTCCATTTCCCCTCTAACTTATCATTTAAATCTACCCCCCCCCTTTGGTCTATAATTTCCACTGATTATAGGAATACCTTGCCTTCCTGGTCCTTCATGCCATTACTCTCTCCCACTTCTAATACACTACCCATTTTGCCACTAGTCTTTCTTTTCCTTTTTTTTTTTTTTTTAATGAGACTTCAAGTGTACAGAATTGGATTTATCACAATCCTTGGTTTTCTTTTTTATTTTTTTTATTGTTATGTTAATCCCCATACATTACATCATTAGTTTTAGATGAAGTGTTCCA